ATATATATATATATATACACGTAGAAGTGAAAAACAGATAACGTAATGACTAGATTTCGAAAACTATATATTTAAAGTTTTATTAAAAAGTTATGTTAATTTCTACCAATGTAGAATTCTACTTTTGATTTAATTTACTACTATTCATCATTTTCTAATTCTTCAACTAGCGTCCTTTATCCTTTTTAAATAAAATAATTAATTATTTTAAATACGAAGCGCCACTATAGTCTGATGTAAAGATGTGAACTATTATATATATTCATGTAAATGAATTAATTTCAGAAATTGCATGCTGATATGGTTGTCGAACTTTCAACGTAATCAATATGAAATATTAATAATCCCCCCAAATTTCCCAAATTTAATCTTAAAAAACTATAATAAACTTATTGCGAAAAATATTGCCTCGGGAATCGAACCCGGATCTCTTGCATTCCATGAGAGAAATTTTTAGACTACCGAAATAATTAATGTCAGAATTCGGTTATTCGGGAAAATTCAAATCATAAATAAAATATAAATAATTCTATTATTTAATTATTTATCCAAGATTTTTTCAAATTCTCAGGATTTTATTTTAATAATCCAATAAACCAAAGTTAGTATATTTAAGAGATTTAAATTGATTTCGAGTGTCTGATTTTAAGTATCTAAATTCAGAAGTAAATTTGAGTTTAGACTAATTCGAATAATGGAATAATATTTATTGATTATATATATATATTCCTATTAGTATCCGTAATACGAAAAAAGTGATTGAATTTATTATTCGTTTAGACTTACCAATTTCCTTATTATTTTCGTTCTCTTGTAGTAAATCCGTAGTATGCACGCCGGTGGCTTGTAGACGAAGATGAGCCAAGTGTCTCGCTACAATACTACCTCCTGTTCCGCCGATATCCCGCCAATCTTGTAGTGTTAATCGCAGCAGTTCTTTACCAGTTGATGGGAGTATTGCTGCGATAGATCCTAGTCTTATGGCGAATGTATGACTGCACCATAAAATCCATTTGTTTATGTCACTCGAGTTCCATTTGGACGGATCTGAAAGACGGAAATTCCGAGATTATCGGAATATATTTCCCATGTTGATAAGTCCAAAATAAAAAACTTTCACATATCGTTTGCCGATTAGATATTTACCGGATGGTACCATAATTTGCGCGGGATGGTCGTCAAGATCTTCAGCGTTGCTCTTCTCATCGTTTTTCGACACGTGTTCCACAATTTCAAAGTTACATACTCCATGCACCTGCGAAGACATCGCACAAATCTGTCTGCAGTTCGAGACTGCTTGTGTTCTCTTATCATTATCCTCCTTCGACTTCCAATTGGAAGTCGATTCAGAATCCATCACTTCAGATATTTGCATGATGTCCAAATCTTGAGACGTATCCATTATTGGATCTTGAGGTGAAGGAATTTATGATTTTTCTTCATAAATCAAATACTTGTTATTTCATCTTGAATAATATCGAACATTCCCGCCTAATTTTGGCATTAAAACTATCTTATCAAGTGAAATCATACAAGTCCAGCATTCGCCGAGATGAAAATTGAATTACTTGAATTATCGCCACGTGTTTTCATATGTCGCATACATATCTTGGCGCCTTAATCTATAGGTTGTTCATTTTCATTTAATCACTTTGCAATTCATTTCGATTTCTTTATTCGCACTATCTGTAAATATTTACTATAAATGTAAATACATAGCATAGATTTATCATTTTAATAACTTTCTCTTCTTTACATCTTGCACGTTGAATATCTAATCACTTGATCATACGATCAATGGTCCAATTATTTTTCTCGTAACGTAAGGGAACTTTATCACCACGGTACAGCACAACATCGCGTAATCATGTTGCGAAGCGCATGTTTGCTTCGATCTAGTCGTCGGCTTGAATGAAACAAAATTGGTCAGGGCGAGGCGAATCACGGTCGAACTGGAGACTTGATTGGCGAAATATGGATTCCCGGAAGAGCGATACACTCAGCCGCTCTCGCTTCTCTGCGAGCAACCGTCCCAACAGCTTATTCCGTGCATCGTCGACCGTTGAATCACGCTTGTGATTGCTCATCTTTACTCACGTTCCTTTTTTCATTTTTGTCAATTCCCACGGTGCGGTTTCGCTTCCTGACGTTAATCAAGCCCGAATAACATAACTTTCTATCTTTCTTTCGAGTGATAAACTCTTATCTCAAATTGCTGCAAAGTTTATCTCATGATATCGAAAATGAAAAATATTTCAACGACAAGTTTAAAAATCAGGGTAATTCATTTGAACAAAAATTGAGAAAGTCGTGTTTTCTTATTATATGAATTTTTTAGGCTGTGGTCAGTCTCGCTACAAATTCTTCGAAGCATTTGATGGATCAATTAGAAAAAAGAATTTTACAAATTGACGTTAAAAAACGGTTCAAAGCGTTTGCATCGCGTTGATCGGCCTTAATTGCGAGTTTCGTTTCCGGTACGAACTATAGATGTGCTTGGATATCTTTTCTCGATACTCCGAATTTATTAATCATTCTTGAAAAAGTACATCTAATGCCGCAACCGGTTTTTTGTTATGCGATATGACTTCATGTATTCCAAGAATATTTTTATTTCCCTTCTATCTATCCTGGTGAAAGTTTTTCATTAACACTTTGGACTATCTCCAATTTGGCTAGTTCATGTAATGTTTCTTATTTATAGTATTTGGAAAAAATAATAAAATATCATCTGGTTTATTTATTTATTGTTTAGTATAAAATTTATATGGAGAATACTTTTTATATTCAATACAAAATAAAAATTTTCTCCTAAGATAACAATAAGACGAAAAAAGATAAAAATTGATTCACTCAATTGATGGCTATACAATTTACAGAGTTTCCGATTTTCACTGAAAAATAACGATTCACGATAACTTTGAATAATTCATTCAATAGATAATTACTTTTTTACGTGATTTTGCATTTCAAATACTAAATAAAAAACATGAGCCAAATTGGAAGTGAACCAATGAAAAGTGTTAATAGTAAGAATTTTTCATATAATTTTAAAAAATTTGTATGTAAATTTCAGAATTTAGAATTTCTGAATAATTTTATAATTATTTTTTAGAAAATTTCTCAAACTTTTTATACAAATTAAAATACTTTTTAAAGGTGTCAAGAAAGTCTACATTTTTTCTAAAAACTTTTTATATATGTGAATTCTAAAATATTCTAAGATTTTTTATTTTATAATTTCTGGTGATATCTTATAAAATCTGAAAAAGTTTAAGATACTTTTTAGAAATTATAGAATAAGAAGTTTATTTGAATATATTACTACGCTCTTCGCTCTGATGAAGTGAAGGTTCAGGAAACGTTGCATTAGCAATGGATCATGACACAGCGATAACTCGTATATCCTTTAGCACCTCTAAAATAATATATGATTTTTAATTGGAGGATTCAAGATTTTTTTATTAGAAATTTTATTAGTGGCTATCGTTATCGTTTGTTATAATTTTTCAATTTTATATATATATA